TATCCCCGAATAATATTTTTAATATTACGTAATTTACGTTTAATTTGGTAATTTCGTCCAAATTTGAATTTAAAATGTCTGTAAAAAATAACTGTGTTCATATATTTTTTAGATTTTTTGGTTACAGTATGAACTATTTATGAGAACCTTTGTTTTAAATTTGCAATCTTTAGCTATAAAAACCGAACATTTTATAATTTATTAATTACAATGATTGAAAATGTTCGAGATTTTGATAAATTTTGTCAAAATTCGATGTTTAAATGCTTATAAAAAAAATTGTGCCTATGTATTTTTAATATTTTTCAACTGCTACTGTAAAAATTTATCAGGATCCTTGTATTAAATTTTTACACTTTTTGGCCAAACAGATAAAACTTTATTGATATTTATAGAAAAAAAAAACTAAAAAAATTGAAAACTGAAAATATCCGTAAACAACTATATATTTATTCGTTTTTGAATTACAACAAAATAAAAAAATCGCTACATGAGAAATCAAGTGAATATCCAATTTTGTAAAAATTTGAATTTCAAACGCTCATAAAAATTTAATTTGACTTTCCGGTAGAGATTTTTTTATTGATAAAGGTAGACAATCTTATGAGTAATCTTGTATTAGATTTTCAAATCTTAGATTTAAAAAGAAAAATTTTTACGAATTCTTAACTCAAAATAATTTGCTAATTTTCGTGATTTTTCCATATTTTGTCAATTTTTGACCTTTAAATGCTTATAAAAAAAAACTGTGACTAACGATTTTTAATATTTTTCATCTTTCTTTGAAACATTATACTAGGTGCCTTCTATTAAATTTTCAAGATTTTTTAACCAACAAATAAAATTTTATGGAAATTTCTAGAAAAAAAACTAAAAAAAAGGTGGGTAAGTGGATGTCGCTCTGCTGTACAGTAGGTTACAAGTGGGTCACTGTATAATTGATGCTATTAAATTTGAATTCAATGATACAATATCATTGTATAAGAAAAACGATTCTGAGCGAAGACGGTATGTCAGTCTAGGTTAACACAAATTATATACATATCTATGGTATTAAAAAAAAATTGACCTATAATAAATTCCAAATTAATCATATCACATTATCACAATATCCATTAGGTACTTATAACACGTTATACATTAACAACAAACCCTGATACTATCATATATATATAATAGTACACTTTAGAAGTTTCAAGTAGGTACCCACGAATAATATTATATTATAATCACAACAAAATAACTAGGTTTTTTAATATGTAATTTCGTCCAAATTTGAACATAAAATGACTATAAAAATAAACTGTGATTGTATATTTTTTAGATTTTTCGGTAAGAGAATTAACTACTTACGTGGAATCTTGTTTTAAATTTTCAATCCTTAGCTATAAAAACTGAACATTTTATAATTTATTAATTACAATGATTAATAATTTTCGAGATTTTGAAAAATTCTGTCAAAATTCGATGTTAAAATGCTTATAAAAAAAAATTGTGCCTATGTATTTTTAATATTTTTCAACTGATATTGTAACAATATATCAGGAGCCTTGTATTAAATTTTTACACTTTTTGGCTCAACAGATAAAACTTAATTGATATTTATAGAAAAAAAAAACTAAAAAAATTGAAAACTGAAAATGTCCGTAAACGGCTCAAAAAGAGTCAAAATATTTTCAAAATTGTATGGTGTATAGGAAATGCTAATATAAACATTCAGTGAAATTTTCATGTATCTACAGTAATTCGTTTTTTAATTACAACAAAAAAAGGAAATTGCCACATGAGAAATCGAGTGAATATCCAATGTTGTAAAAATTTGAATTTCAAACGCTCATAAAAATTTAATTTGACTTTCCTATAGAGATTTTTTTATTGATAAAGGTAGGCAATCTTATGAGTAATCTTGTATTAGATTTTCAAATCTTAGATTTAAAAAGAAAAATTTTTACGAATTCTTAACTCAAAATAATTTGCTAATTTTCGTGATTTTTCCATATTTTGTCAATTTTTGAACTTTAAATGCTTATAAAAAAAAATTGTGACTAAGGATTTTTAATATTTTTCATCTGCCTTTGAAACAATATATTAGGAGCCTTCTATTAAATTTTCAAGCTTTCGCAACCAACAAATAAAATTTTATTGATATTTCTAGAAAAAAAACTAAAAAAAAACTAAAAATGAAAATGTCCCTAAACTGTTCAAAATAAATCAAAATATTTTGAAAATGTTATCGTGTATAGAAGATGCAAATATAAACAACCAGTGAAAATTGCATGTGCCTACGGTCATTTGTTTTAATGTTACACCAAAAACCAAATTCAATTTTCTGAAAAATCGATTTTGCGTAAAAATTCCCGTTTTTCCTTAATTTTTCTTTTGTTTTTCCCGGCGCTCTTGAAAACTACTGGGAAATTTAAATTTTGACCTCCCCAATGCACCAACGATTTTCACTTTCCAATCGAACAAGATACTGAAGTCGAAAATCGAAGCATTATTTCGACTACTTATCGTGTACACAGACACAAAAAAAATAAAAAAATAAAAAAAAAATTAAAAAAAAAATTTAAAAAAAAACACACATCATTGTAAAATCAATACATTCATCGTTTCACTCAGAATCTAAAAATGAAAAATGAAAATGTCCCTAAACAGTTCAAAATAAATCAAAATATTTTGAAAATGATATCGTGTATAGAAGATGCAAATATAAACAACCAGTGAAAATTGCATGTGCCTACGGTCATTTGTTTTAATGTTACACCAAAAACCAAATTCAATTTTCTGAAAAATCGATTTTGCGTAAAAATTCCCGTTTTTCCTTAATTTTTCTTTTGTTTTTCCCGGCGCTCTTGAAAACTACTGGGAAATTTAAATTTTGACCTCCCCAATGCACCAACGATTTTCACTTTCCAATCGAACAAGATACTGAAGTCGAAAATCGAAGCATTATTTCGACTACTTATCGTGTACACAGACACAAAAAAAATAAAAAAAAAAAAAAAAATTAAAAAAAAAATTAAAAAAAAAACACACATCATTGTAAAATCAATACATTCATCGTTTCACTCAGAATCTAAAAATGAAAAATGAAAATGTCCCTAAACAGTTCAAAATAAATCAAAATATTTTGAAAATGATATCGTGTATAGAAAATGCAAATATAAACAACCAGTGAAAATTGCATGTGCCTACGGTCATTTGTTTTAATGTTACACCAAAAACCAAATTCAATTTTCTGAAAAATCGATTTTGCGTAAAAATTCCCGTTTTTCCTTAATTTTTCTTTTGTTTTTCCCGGCGCTCTTGAAAACTACTGGGAAATTTAAATTTTGACCTCCCCAATGCACCAACGATTTTCACTTTCCAATCGAACAAGATACTGAAGTCGAAAATCGAAGCATTATTTCGACTACTTATCGTGTACACAGACACAAAAAAAATAAAAAAATAAAAAAAAAATTAAAAAAAAAATTAAAAAAAAAACACACATCATTGTAAAATCAATACATTCATCGTTTCACTCAGAATCTAAAAATGAAAAATGAAAATGTCCCTAAACAGTTCAAAATAAATCAAAATATTTTGAAAATGATATCGTGTATAGAAAATGCAAATATAAACAACCAGTGAAAATTTCATGTATCTACGGTCATTTGTTTTAAAGTTACACCAAAAACCAAATTCAATTTTCTGAAAAATTAATTATGTGTAAAAATTCCTGTTTTTCCTTAATTTTTCTTTTGTTTTTCTTGGCGCTTTTGAAAAGTACTGGGAATTTTAAAATTTGAACTCCCCAATGCACCAACGATATTCACTTTCCAATCGAACAAGATACTGAAGTCGAACATCGAAGCATTATTTCGACTACTTATCGTGTACTCAGACACAAAAAAAAAAAAAATAAAAAAAAAACACACATCATTGTAAAATAAATACATTCATCGTTCCACTCAGAATCTAAAAAGAAGAAATTATATAATGGATCAATTCAAGGTAGGTAATTAGGTACCTGCTTTATTATAAAATAACGTAACATGCAGGTATAGGTACATAAGATATTTAAATTATTCTAAGTTGTGTATATTGAAATACAATATTATATAATAAGGTATAGGTGCTAGCGCATATTATAAATATCTATTTTTGTTTATTTTAAGTCTAAAAAATGTTAAGATATTTAAAAAAAACCGAAAAAGTTCAAACCGATTATTATAATCATAAATAGGATGTTAAAGAATTATATAGTTATTTTGTATTATAATAAATGTAACTAAAAAGATCTACATACATAATAATATACATATAATATATACATATTATAACAGTTTATTTAACGAATCCAATATTATTTTCCAACCATAATCAAAATTGTTTTTTAAAAACCTTGAATTTTCTTATAAACTATTTCGTTACATAAATTAAATTCTATTTGATGATGATAACATACAAAAATATTTAAATAAAAACACCCATAGGCTTTTACTACATTTAGTGATTTAAAATAATCATTATTATCAAAATTAAATCATTAGCTAACTTACATGGTAATTGGTATATAAAAGTGTGGGGGGGGGTTTCATGTGTTACAACCACCAAAGGTTTTTTTTTGCTATAGAAAACTGTCAAAGCTCTAAAGTAACAGTGAAATTAATCAGTGTGCGGTGTGTATCCTGAAATCAGATGTATTTTTTGGCCCTGCAGTCTACAATTCACGTGAAACTTGTCTATCAGTTAAACCACCTAAACTATATTAATAACTGTCCTGCAGACCAATCGATATGTTTGTGCACACATTTTTTTTATCATCTTTTAGCATTTGTCTCAAATAATTATACCCCTATGATAGTTATCATCGTTGTGAATTATAAACATAAATTGATAGTCGAATACGGCTCAATGAAAATATGTACCTATATTTATAATGAATTAAAATAATATTGTTTACACTGCACAGTATCCCCTTTCCACCCGATAAATTGTTTTATTTAGTTATATCATCAAATCGGACTTACCTTTTCATACATCTTGTACTTTTTGTCTCCATAGTAGGCCACGAAGTTCGTACATAGCCATTTTGAAGCTATTTTTGCCGCCATAACTTTTGCATCTTCGTTGTCCGTGTTCTGCAACGACATCACCATAATATATTGCAGTGGGGGCCATGCATTAGGTTGGTCCCACTGCTGATCAGTTTCCATGAGAGTCGTTGGTACTCCCCCAGAAGTCGTCAATACTTCATTTTCTTTTAAATACTTTAATATCCTTGTCACAAAATAATCTGTTCGATTTCTGTCGTAACACCCCGTCCATAAGGGTGATATATTAGTTGGGTAAAAATAGTTTCGTTTTTTTTGATTCAGCAGATCAAAGTCCAACCAGGCACCCACTTCCTCGTTCCATAAAACTGCATTCACAGCATCCTTCCATTCCGTAGCAATGACTTCATACTCCAAAGCTTTGATGGTATTATTCAATTCCCGGTAGAAATCACTCAATATCTTCGCATTCCAAAAGATTAATGCGTTCAACTCTACCGGGACGATAGATCTAGTTTTTGTATGTGTAATGTTTCCTGCAATCATACAATGACATAATTTATTGTACGCAACGTTTTTGACCACATCATAACCTAATAGAACTAAGACAATACCTATTATCCGATAAACTTTATCTCACCCCCCTTACCCATTTTATTATGATACACACGATAAATATATTTACATATTTAATACACCATTGAGTTCAAATATTAATTTTTTTAATGTAAATTAGATAAAAATAAAAATAAAAATAATAGGTAACAAAATGAAATCATTTTCCAAAAAATTTGGGGAATATGAAAATCATATATTAAATCTTGATCAGAAATGAAGTACCTAATTATATTTTATTCATTGAGACGTCGATTACTATCGTATACGTCAAACTCGGGATCAAGTTTTAATAATGCTTATGAAAGATAAAAATAGAATAAAACCAATATTCTGCATATTAATCGTTGTGGACATGTTTTAGAAATAATATAAAAATGTAATGCGTATCAATTGAGTAGAATTAACGTGATGATACATTTTAGGTACACATAATTTATGACATGGACTGTATGTAGGATACGAGGTACCTAACGTCGTAATGTATAATCGTTATGAAAATGGATCGTTCGGTCGGTTTTGAGGTATGCCTCATGAAACACATGCAGTAATAATAGATTGGAAAAATTTACTTTATAGAGTGTTTAGAGTAAAGATAAAAGTATAGACCCTACTCTAATTTGAATAAAAACTTCAGATTATATACATTAAATATATACTAAATGAAACTATTTTAAATCGTGCACAAAAAGAGAAGAAAGTAGATTTTTTTTAATTAAAACTGGTAATATTTATAATTGTAACAATAACCTATAATATTCTAACTTAATATAGGTGGATACAATATTTAAAAGGTTATAAAATAATAATATTTCGAATGATCGATACTTCAAATAAAATAAATAATTATTAAACAAATGGTTAATGAATATATAGGTACCTATAATCAATAATCTTTTAAAAGAATCATTAACATATGTTGTTTCACATCGTGATATAAAAGAAAACAATATTTTTGTTCATTTTTTTAAATTATTTATTAAATATAAATTTTTTTAATGTAAAGTATTTTGTAATTAAATATTAATCATGTAATAATTACACTAATTACGTTTTAAAAATGCCATGTGGTTGTCAGTAATATTGTAGTCTGGGAGTTATTTTTCCTAGGGTCAGGGATTTTTATTCCGCTATTGCCTATCTCTATGTTATAGTTCAGTGTATAGGTATACTGTAAAATGATGTGTAATAATCTTACCAAATACAAAATAGTTTATATCATACCGACATAAATTGTTTCATTAATACAAGCATACATATTATGATATTTACCATATTTATCAAAGTTATCAATATACCTAAAAAAAAAGTTAAAAAAAAAAAATAAGAAATAAGCCCCCAACAGCCCCCAACAGCCCCCCTAGTAGCGCTTATTGCCACAAAAATTGTTATTTATTGAATATTTTATTTGGAAACTGTTTACTGATTTTAATATTATAAAAATGTTATTATATATTTTGTTTTAAATAGTAAACTACCATAAAGGTTATAATAAATAATTATATGTTGATGTGAGTTAAGATTAATTACGTTTTAATAAGTACTTAATATTATGTTAGAAAAAGTGAAACTCTGTCTTATAATATAATTTTGAAAAATGTATCGAATGCGAATTGGGTTTTGTTTTGTTTCAGTAGGTACCCATATATTACGTACCTATACACTGCAGTTGATTCTTATTATCTGGGAGAACATCGTATCTCTAATTCATCTCGATCTCAATTGAAATCCCATTAAAGTAATATTTTATATTAACATTGGGTAACTACATTAAAAAGACACTACACAGATATACAGATATTTGTTGAATCCATCTTACAAGTGCGTAACATTTCGAATACACGTTCAGCAGATAACGCTGGTTTTATTAATTATATATAAATATTATAATATATATATATTCAGTTTTTAAGTGAGTTATGATCATTTATAATTTACGCTACCTTATATACACGTAAATTGCAAAAAAAATTAACTATAGTAACAAACCACACACAAACACAGATAATATTCTTACCGTCAAGTTTAATAATAGATCAGTACACTCTAAATTTTAAACTAACGGAGCTAAACGTAATCTGCTGAGAGTATATTTGCTATGTTACGTACTTGTAAGTCGGAGACGTGTAGTCGTGAAAGACTCAATATCTCGAACTTCTATCTGTTTCCCTTGAGTTTCAACATAACGAGATTTATTGTATTAATATAATAAATGTAGTCCCTACCCTATTCTATACCGTATAACGTATTATCGCATAGAGAGTGTATAAAGACGTCTTGACTATTTTGTGAAGGCATACCTAGGGTATAACGCCTGTGCAAGGTAGGGTGAGTTAACGATTTTTTTTTAATTCGTTAAGTTAATCTAAGAAGATTTATGTAAAGTTGAGCTAAAAAATAACTAATAATTTTTTATAACTTAGTTAAGTTAAACATGGTGGGTTAAAAACAATTAACTTAGTTAAAATTAGTTTAACTAAAAATGTAATAATGACTAGGGCATATATAATAGAAAGCATAGCAGCAAGGCTTTTATTGCATTTAGGGCCAGTAGTTGACAAATTAACTATTCAGTGAACTATTTCCCCAATAATTTAAGAAGGGCTCAGCTAAAATAACATAATTATTATTGATGCCTATACAACTTATAGTACCTAGTTCTACTATTAGCTGATATACAGAAATATATTTTATAAATTTCCATTTTTTTCCGATTTTTATTACTATATTTTAATTTTAATCCTTCCGAGTAATATGTGTGTGTGTAATGATTACAAGAACACTACCTTATTAATATTATGAACACATTAGAATATTAGATACATATTATTATGTACGAAATCGAATTATATATTATTAGAAATTGTATCAAAATTAAGTTATTTGACTAAATTGTAATTATTATTATATTACATATTTACATCAATATAAAATAATTATATATTTGGTCTTTAGAAACATATATAATAAATACAAAAACTAGTAAGTTATTTACCTTTATTCGTTCCGTTGAGGATGAACCAGCGACTAGAAAAGTCCCAACCTGATTCAGCTGCCGCCTTGATCTCTGCAGGGGAATAATATCAAAAATGTGGGAAAATCGATCTCAAGTTGACTTGACGACAAATTCAAATCTGTCAGAATTCAAATCAGAATTCTTATCGCTTCATTAGATTAATCGGTACGTTGGAAATAGGTCACGTATATAATCCTATGTTGCACGTGTGTTAGACAAAGACAGAAAATCGCCGCTTCCAATCCCCTTAAGAGGACGTGGACGTCACACCCGTTATGTGTTGTCTCCGTCTTACAAATATACAACGTTGCAAAAACTGTTTTGCGTGGGTCAACTTTTCTCGCAACATATTTGTTGTAGAACTACCAAATTTTCACAACACGTAAAGAAGAACTTTATCTGTCCAACAGTGTACTTTTTTTTAATAGCACTATCCAATCATTTTTTATAAGCAAATGAAGATAAACAAAAAAACAAAAAGTTTAGAAGCAAATAACTTTTATTGTATTCATGTTAGCTAAAATATACGCACGATGTTGCATAGACCATTTTCTAGTTTATATGTTCAGCAATTTTGGAGCCACTACTACAAACAAAGATAAAAGTTGTCCCGCGCAAAACAGTTTTTGCTATGTTGTACATTTGTAAGACAGAGACAACACATACAGGTGTTACGTCCTCTTAAAAATAACAATGTCTGAGAGGCAGCCCTTTTTTTTGAAGACAATAATTTGATATTTCTGTCCTATGGCTATATCAGCCTACTATAAATTATAATAAATGTAATATGTTACATAATTGTTATGATTTCTGTTATTAGATAAATTGTTAAGAAAATAGGAATATTTATAGAAGTAGGTAATAACTTTTAGTTTTTATAACCTTAAAATGTTAAACATTTTAAATTAATTTTCTGAGGGTTAGGCCACTATTTGAGATGTACCAATGTATAGTAATTTAGTGTATAGAGTCAATTTGTAGCATCCTCGTAAGTCGTAGTTAAATTGTTCATGATAGCCGATAGGTATAGTTCGAAATAGATATCCATTTCATGAAGTTCGATCCATAACGTTTTAAAACGTTTTTATGTTTATAAAATGGATACTAACTTTATCAATTTCGTGAATATATGGCTACATTTTCGTGAAATGGCCAGTGGTCATGTGTTGTCTTCGTCTTACACACGTATACAACGTAGAAAATTTTCGTTCGCTAGTTTCAATAGGGTGCTGTCATTTTTGATATTAGAGTGAATTTACCTATTATTAAACTTTTAGGTAACAACTAACAACACTATCTGTGTTCTCTAGTTGGGTTTTTACGATATTTTAATTTTTAAGTGAGTTAGGTATCAGTATGTAAAAAATTAATGTTTGAAAATGCTCATAACTCACTTAAAAATTCAAATATCGTAAAAAACCGACTAGAGAACACAGATAATGTTGTTACCTAAAGGTTTGATAATAGGTCAATTCACTCAAATATCAAAACTGGCAGCACTTCATGGAAACTAGCGAACGATGCCATACGTGTGTAAGACGGAGACAACACATGCGGGTGTGACGACCTGTATAAGTATAATAATTTTGACAAAATAATATAATATACAGCGCATGCTGCACTTACCAAGTATTCATGTTATATAAATATATATATGGCTTTATCAGTGGCGCACCCGAAAGGCCGAAACTATTTTCATATCAGATTATAATACTATTATAAATATTTTTTTTATAGTATAATATTGTTTTGTACTTTTGTCAAAAATATAATAATAATATAATATATTATTATATTTTTTTTTCGAATTCGATACAGATGTAGATGAGGTTTCTACTTTGTGTTGTGTCATGTGGTAATCGCCTAACCAATATTTCTTCAAAAATTATTTTTAGATTTATATACTGGCGGTCAG